CTAAGTGCTTCCTGGGGTTGCTGTTATCATTGAAAGTATGAAATTTTGGAACAAAATACCCCTTCAGATATGGCACCTGGTCATACTCCATTGGGTTTGGATGACCTTTTCCTATTAGCTTATGTGCTTGATCAATAGATATAATAACCTTGATCTTTTCATTGATTATACCCTTTAGTTGTGCAACCATCACAGGCTCAGAGGTACTTGCTATATTCTATGGAGTAGGCTAGAAGATTAAATTATTGACCTCATTTTTGCCTTCAGGGTTGTCTCATACTCCTGAGACCTGAGGTATTTGGAGGTTTGGAGGGATTGGTTGGAGGAGTAGGCATTGTTAAGAGAGTTGCTAAATGCATGTTTTATATTCTTGCAACTTGTATAGTTTTGATGATTCCAAATATTATTGTTTTAAGTTTTGTTATCTCCTAACACTTTTTGGAAGATTTGTTTTTGCTCTTGTGTGGACTAACATTTCAAGAAATTCGATCTCCATACTAATGAAGACTTCAAATCAAATTTAGCATGAGATAGTTTTTAAATTGAAGCTTGTATTTTTCTTTGAATTGAGTTTGAGAGAGAGTTATTGTAATTGTGTAAATAAACACACACACACACACACACACACTTAAGGAGATCTTTAAAAATTATACTGATCGTATGGGATGAACATAGTTTGTACGGGACGATCAAGTCAGTTATATCCTCGTAAGAGCAATGGAACGAATAGGAAGAGAATAAAATTTTTCTAAGTCCTGATCGTCCAGGACGAATTTCCTATTCTTCCCAGTACGAAATGGGCTCTGGAAAATTTTCGTCCAAACGAACTCCAATTCGTCCCAGGACGAAATGTCCTCTGGAAAATTTTTGTTCAGACGAATCCATATTTGTGCCAGGACGAAATGTCCTCTGTAAAAATTTCGTCCGGACGAACTCATATTCGTCCCAAGATGAAATGTACTCTGAAAAATTTTCATTCAGACAAAATTCATATTCGTGCTAGGACGAAATGCTCTCTTAAAAATTTTCGTCCAGACGAACTCCAATTCGACTCAGGGCGAAAGGTCCTCTAAAAATTTTTGTTCAGATGAAATCCATATTCATGCCAGGATGAAATGTCCTATGTAAAAATTTTGTCAGGATGAACTCATATTCATCCTAGGACGAAGCGCACCGACTCTTAAAAATTTGGCAACTTCCTGCAGTTTTTGGAATCGACCTATGGTATAACCGGACGAACCTTGTTCATACGGGACGATTAATGTATACGAAGTCAGTTCGTACCAATATACATTGGGTTCATTTCCAACTGAATTAAGTAACATCGTCCAGGATGATCCACGATCGTACGGGAATCATCCTGGACGAGCCACTGTTGACAAACTTGAATTTTAGCAATTTTTGGACAATTTTTTGTGTCTTTCCTATATAAAGTCAAATATAAACTGCCACTTAATCTTTTTGCCTACTGATCTTCGTGCCAACTGAAAGGAAAGTCAAGAAGAGAGTTTGAGAGTGTTTGAAGGAGGATTCTTACTACTGGAGCGTGAAGGTTTCACTTTGTACGCAAAGGTAAGAGTCTCAACTTGTGATTTTAGATTACTTCACTCTTTTCTCTCTTCCTTCTAGATTTCATGTGAAGAAGATCTGTCAAGAAGATCCGGTTCTCTGCCGACACTTAGAGAGTGTGAACAGACGATGAAGCTTCAACATTATGCCTCTCAAACACAACATGATCGCTAGGTAGGATAATGGTGTCAGCAATCACTACAGAGATCTTTCCTTCGACTACAAACCTCATTAGAGATGAGACTTCTGAATGAGATTGCCTATTGAAAACAAAAATCCACATGTAATGAGGATTTTAATCTATGGTGGCTCGCTGCATTAGTAGATGCATACGAGGTACAATAGTTCTATCATAATAGGGCCTCTTAGTGGACCCTTCAAAATCCATGTTGCACACTAGGACAAAGAAACCCTTGTAATAGTTGTAGAGAATTATAGCCCAACGAATGGATGGTGGCTCTAATCTCATCAGTGTTGATAATGACGTTCTCTAGCATAATGCTAGCTTCATGTCCCATCTAAATGATGACCAAAGTGTTTTGCATATCTATCTATACAAATGAAAGGCAATGATTAATAATCAGCATTTGATACATCACCCTGTACTAAAAAAATACAAAGACTGCACATAATAGAATAATAGAAGAAAGTAATTAAAAATAAAATTTAACCATACTTAATGAATTTTTAATTAATTTGTTAAATGATCATTTTAGAGTATTTAAAATTTTAGTTTGTTAAATGATTATTTTAAAATTTTAAAATTTTAGCCATATTGATTTGTTATTACTGTAGCACTTAGATAACTAGCTAAAGATGAAGAGAAATCATTCCCAGTGGAGTCTCCATTAATATTTGGGCTCCAAAAATTTGCACCCCAGCCTCTCAACAATAATTTCCCTATGCATATTGACTGGCAAGTTGCTACATTCACTTGCATGTTGGCTTTGTGTTCATGGGAGATTTTTGTATGTAGAATTTATCCACTGTTATTACTTTCAAGTGAAATAGAGTATTTATTTGCAAGCTGAATTATGTTGAGAGCAGATGTAGTTTCCTTGTTTATGTTTGTTGAGAATCTCATAGAGAATTGACATACTCACTTGTAAGTTGAATCCTTAGGAGGTTATTATATTTGTTGCGTGGGTTGAGCCTCGTGTTTTACTCGTGATCGTGCTATTACATTGAACACATCATTTGTACTCATTACAGTCTTCCTTTGAATACTTGTAGGAAGTATTATTGTTATATGCGAGTTTGTGTCATTATATGCAAGTAATGATTGATTATAGCCGAGCAAATTTCTTCATGTACACTGGTTAGTAAATTAATACATTCACTTGGACATCTTTCATCATCATTGACAACCAAACTGTCAAATGCACTCTAATGGTTTCTTGTGGCCCATAAGTGGTTGTTTTTTGTTGTTGTGCTCATTCCAATTGGTATGGCAGCTTTCAATGTTTATCAAAAACTTTTTTTCATTGGCTGCAAGCGAGTCTTCATCTTCTCCCATGGTTTTGGCTAATTTTTCCTTGCAAGAAAGCTATATTTAAAGATCTTTGCTTACCACGAGTTCCATATTTACTCATTTATATTAAAACTTTCATTGTTTCACACATTGTATTTTCATTTTAAGCATTATGTCCTATTCCCTATGGTCAAATTTGCAAGATCAGTTCCCTGTTGTCCATTCAAGTTCCATGTTGTTCATTTAGGTTCAAATCAGGTCCCCTATTGTTGGTATAAGTTTAGGGCCTCTATTTTCTGAATTTTGGTAGCCTCCCAACGTGCCCTCCATTTAGGGGAAACTTTAGGGAATTGGGCATTCCCTACCACGCTATGAGAGAGAGTAGGATAGGTATTGTGTTCTACGGCCATAATTTTCAACCCTTCAATGCTACGAGAGTGCGTAGGACTCTTCAAGGTACCAGATTGAAAGAAGGCGCAATTTTTTTCCTGCCGGCACTGAGACACGCACGGATACTTAATTTTGTCCTCATCACACCATGAAAGTGTTAAAGGCTTACCCACCTCGCTTCAAGCATTACACTGGGTTCCCTCCCACTATGCAACGAGAGCGTGTAGGGTGGGCCCCCGCCACGCCATGAGCTCTAAAAGCGCAATTTTTAGATTTTTTTCAGTTTGAAGAGCATAATTTTTTGATGAGTGAGGTCAGATTGCAACTGTGTCTGTATTGAAGGTAGGAGGGCCGAGGCGCAAAAATTCCTTTTCTTTTTCTCTTTTTCCATCATGTCTCTAAAAATACTTTATAATGTAAACTTTATTTCAATTGTTTTATTTTCAAAAGAAAATGAAAAATATAAATAGTACCTCCCCAAATATGAAATGGAATAAGCTACAAGACATTTTTATCATTTTTAAACAGAGCGCAGAGAGCTCTTTTAAGTAGATTTGCTGAACAAATGGAAAATGACATATAAATTGTGTAAGAATTTTGAGGGGAATCAAATTGAATGTGGGTTTGTTTCATGCATATATAGCCAAAAGTTGATGAGCCTAACTCAATGATGTCCGCTGGGAAGACATTCAAATGCTCAACTAAATCTATGAGCATGAAAACACTCAAATGCCCAAGTAAATCGATGAGTTTGAAGACACTCAAATTCTTGAGAGATTATTATGTGCGGAGTCCAGAAGATGAAAATCGTTCGGTTTTATGACTTCGAACAGTAAAATGTAGTAAAAGTGCAGTTACTGTTAACCACTGCACTTTTTACTATTCACAATCACAAAATCAAACGGTTCTCTGCGTCCACACTCCGCACATAATAATCTCTCCAAATGCTCAAGAAAATATGTGATCCTAAAGACTAGGTAGAGTATAAAACTTATTTGAAGGAAAATATATAAGTCAAAAATAAGCAAAAAAGCATACCCCATCTTCCACGATATCTGTATTTGATCATCATGCCTTCTAAGATAATGGACTAAAGTAAGTATAAATCTTGATTATCTCAATCAAATTATTCTGATCAGCTCAAAATTAAACACTTTCTAAGGGAAAATCAAAGTCTATCATTGATAATGACTTAATAACAGCAATCAGCATCTAAAAACATGGAAAATATATTTTTAATTCTTCCTTTGAATTAACATTGATACAAATAAAATTTCACTTGAACATAAAACATACATAACAGACAGTCAGGTATGATAATTATACGCTTATAACGCTCCATTATTTTGCTTGTTTTTATCATTCATGCTCATTTGTAATCATCTTAATACAAGATAATGCTCATCATATTACTAATTAACCCGAAATAAACTGCCATAAACTCAACTTCTCATCACAAGCTTCAGCCTCAGCTGATCTACTAACATATAACATACATGCATAAATAATAACTTCATAACACATTTATATAAATCTTGATTACTCAAAGGAAACATCTAAAACTTTCCACTCATGGTTCATAATACTGTTCTCGATTGATTTCTTGGTTCTGATAATTCTGTTTCCCTTCCATTTCCTGGCTATAACCATAACCTTTTCCTCTCCCCTCATAGTTATAAACTCCATAACCAAACCTTCCATTGTCCTTTACTCCATACCCTTCAGAATTACCCGTTGCAGGATCATAAGCTTCACCGTGCCTCTGATCATTTAAATCATAGAAATACTTTCCATTCTCAACAACTCTGGTATCACTCATCCCATATTTCTCCTTGTTGATCTGGCTCTCATCACGCGGGTAGAAGGCATTGGCTTCCCTGCTTTCAGGGATTTCAGAACTGAACTCCGTTCTGGGGATTCTTGATCTTTCATTAGTGGGGAAGTATTCCTCTGATCCGTGGCCGTAGAGGCCATAGCCATTTGTGCTTTGTGGGGGGAGATTCTCAGGCTGTTCTCCCCCGATGGCCGCCGACGATGCCTGAATTTCTTCAGGATTGGTTGCAGTTTCAGAAGGGAACTCATTGTGCACTGCCTTGTTGAAGGATTTTAGCTCTCTTGCATGGATTGGAAGCGTTGAGAAAGAGAGGATGAAGAGAAAGCTGAGTAAGAGATGAGCGAAGGAAGCCATGAGGGAAAAAAATAACAGAGATGATGGAATGAAAGATAGTATAGCAACAGGTGGTTATAAAGGAGGATGGATCAGAGACCTATATATAGAGATCAATTAGCAGAGAAATGGATGATAAGTTTGTCTAAAGCAATGGAGAAAGGGAAGAGTGATGGTGGCGGGGATTATGGGGGGAGAGGAGGTGGGGCAGCATTATAATTGTATGATGGAGAATTGTGCACGCTGCATGTGATGTACTCAAGTCAGCTACAGGATCCAAAAAGTCTTTAACTCGCACAAAAACTAATACAATGAATTCACATAAAAAGCTATCAACATTGAGAAAAACTAAAGGAGAGGAATTATTGATCGATTTAAATTAGAGGTGTAAGTGAGTCTAGTTCAAATGGCGTGCTTAACATGAGTTTGGCTCATCGGCCAAATTGCGAGCTTGAATTTGAGCTCAAATAACATGATCGAACTCGGCATGTGGCAATAGATGCGAGCTTGTGAGCCAGCAGCTCGTGAGACGTAAGAATAACATAGCTCATGATTCAGCTTTTATCTTCTGCTTTCGGATCCGGTTCCGATTCCAATTCCGCCTTTAGCTTCTGCCTCCCATTCTACCTTCTGCTTCCCACTTCCTCTTTCACTTTCGCAGTTTTGCCTTCCACCTATTCGAGTTGCACGATAAGTAAAAGTGTTGAGTAGCAACTCAATCAAAGTCGAACTCAATTACCCAACGTGCTTGTAAATTTTGTTCGAGCCCAAAACTCAATAAGTTTAACTCGTGAACTTGTTACTGAGTTTAGTTCGAGCAAACTCATGAGTCAGCTTTGACTCTTTTGTACCCTAAATTGAGAGTAAAGGTTAAGTTGATTAATTTTCTATACGAATTGGATAAAACTGTCAATCAGTCTTAAAAATTAGTATCTTGTTAAGAGGATTAAACAAAACATTATAAATAATTAAATTTTCTGTAAAATTACAGATAAAGTTTTAAATTTTTTCTGTTAGAATTGGATAAAACAAAATATTATAAATAATTAAATTATCTAAAAAAATATTGGAAATTAAAAAAAAAGGCTCAGTGGCTGGTTGTTTTTAAATATATTTTTAAAATAAAATAAATTTGAAAGGATTTGAGATGATTGGAAGAGCATTATTTTTCAAAGTTAGGCTCAAAATTCACAGTTTCCATAGCAAGTTGTTGATTTTTTATTTAAATATGTTCTTCTGACACAATTAATTAGTAAAAAAAAAATCATGTTGTTAACATATTACAAAAAATGACACAAAATCACAAAAAAGAGTGTGTTGATCAGTGAAAATTGTATTTAATAAAGAATTAATCAATATTAACCGACAATTTACTTTATTATTAAAATTCATACTATTTCGACGATGATTATGAATATGTATGTTGATTAAAATTTTAAAGTAATTAATAATTTAATAAATAAAAGTTATTAATTTTATTAAATTAATAAATTTTAAATGCTATTAAATTAATTATTTTAAACCAGAAACTAATGAAGTATTATTAAATTTTATAAAATTTATACAATTTTATTAAATTATTATTATTTTAATTATGTTACAAAGTTTTGTCTTCCGTTTACAGTGTTTAAATAAAAATTAAATTATAACAGGATCAAAATAATAACAATTTAATTTAACTGTATTAAATTATTAACTTTTTAATAACATTTTAAGAGAATTAAATTAGTATTAATTAAATTTTATAATGTTTCAAGATTTAATAAACTTTAATTATTTAATCAATCACATTGTTTTTTAGCTTAAATTCTAATCCGCCAATTAAAATTCTCAAATTTATTTCTAATAAATGTTCATTTATTTCTAATAAATGTTCTATGTTCATGCACAATTACATTGCTAATTAGATTTGAAATTTTTAGTTAAGACATAATTTTTCGCACCCTCATAAATTTAATTGTTATTATTTTAATTGTTAGAGAGATTAAGGCTTCCTTTGGGACGGCTTTTTTATTGGTTCTTAGATCAACTTTCTAGTATAAAAATTAAAAATTTTGTACTATGTAAGAAAACCGTCCCAAACAAAATATAATGCTTCGTTTAAGACGGCTTTTTTAATGCTTCTTGAAACAGCTTTCTAGTACTATATTTTAATTGTTATACTAAAAAGATGTTTCAAGAAGCAGTACAAAAAGTCGTCCCAAACGAAGTCTAGGGCTTTGTTTGAGATTGATTTCTAACTGTTTTTTAAAGTTATTTTTTACTACAAAAAATTTTAATTTAACAAATTTTTGTAATACTAAATTATTTTAAAACACAGCTAAAAATTGTACCAAATGAAATCTAACCCAATGAAATTAGTTCGAAAGATCTTCAAATAATTTGTGTTGACAAGAGTAGTATGAATGGATTTCCACGAGGAGGACCTAAGAGACTACCCTAATATTTCTTAAAACCAGTGCTAAAGAGGCGTGACTGGCGGCGAGATTACTCCATAAATTTTGGCCCTTGATTTGGTCCTGCTTCTTGTTAGTTAAGAAGCACTGAAACGTGGACAAAGATATTTTGAGCAGTAAAAATAGATCAATATACGACATCCCAATTATTTATGTTCGATTTATTTGCTATATAAATTAGTTAAACTTAGATAAAATATTATTTTATGTTTTATGATGTTTAGCACATATTGCATGATTTTTTATGTATATATTCATGAATGCCTTCACAGATATTATGCGAGCAGCTACCCACTTTGGAGCTCGCCCTGCACAGGACAAATTGGAAATCATTCGTTGAATCAATACTCGTTACTACCTCTCTCATAGGCTCTCCCCCCAGGACATCCAAACTAGACCAACTCAACTACAGGAATAGCTTATTCAGAAAACCCAATATTCGACTACAATCTTTTCAATCGGATGCTAGCTCTTTCATTCTCGCAACATCTCACTCATCTTGTTCTTTAATGCGACCTAAGATCTTTTACACAAGTCGTCAGTTACGCTCATCCGCTCACCAAGGCTCACTTGCAAATTCACCCAATGCCTACTTGACCCCACCGAGCTTGCCCCCATAGAGCTCGCTCGTTGACTTCATCGTCCCCCTTGCCTATTAGAAGGTGACATGTGTCAATGTGTAGTGTTGCAAGCATATTTGTTGGAACTTGTATTTCTACTTCATTTTTTATCTATATATTTATTCTTGTAGCACTCATAATCCTATAAATAAATAATGAGGAATAGTTGGGGACTCTGATATGGAGGTATGGAGGCTTTGATCTTGAACACAAAAACTCTTACCTTGAATATTGGACCTTGGATTCTTCTCTAATAATGAATATCCAGCCTGTTTGAGATCTCTAATATCCTATTTTGCTCGTTGTTTTCTCTCTACACTCATCGTTGTCATTTGCAGGTTCCAGTTCACCAGGTTGACCTGCTAGTAGGGTCGTGCATGCATCATCCACAAACAAATTCATATTTAACATTATGCATTTAGATTCATCAAGTGAAATAAAGTCTTGAAGTTCATATTTAGCTCACATTCCACTTAATAATCATAATATTCAATTCATCATAGCATAATTAAATATCTCTTTGTTCAAGATTATAGAATAAATTAAATAATATTATGGCTCATAATACATACCTAAAATACTATTAAAAAAATAATATCTTTATTAAAATATGTTTTAAATATTTTTTAAGTTAAATGGAAGCATGCTGAAGATCTGAATAGAGAGGAATCTTCTGATGATCATAGTCATCCCACAGCACTTATTCATGCCCTTAATTGATATTTATAGTTTGTATGAATAGAATATGGAGCATTGCTCTCTCGTGCCTATCAGGCCCACAGTACGTTATGATGCAGATGAGAGCCAATAAATAGAGCAAAGGTCATTCTTGTGAGTCCTTAGCAAACCAAAGCAATGTGCATGAGAGCAATTATTCAAAACATGGGGCTCTACAGCCTTCAAGACTTCGGCAGTCCCAACAGTACTCTCAACAGACAGTACTGTCATATTTCTTTTAGTAATCTGATTTCAGCAATTGCCCGAATTAGGGTTATGGAAGATTTTTTTTTTAGTTAAAACCCACTGTGGGGCCTACGCGTTAATATCAAAAATTCGGTTATAAAGTCCTTAGAAGGATCCTCCAGCTCGCTACTGCTCATAAGAGCTACAAGATAAAAAGAAATAAAACCTAAGAGCCGGTGGTTCCTTATCCTAATATTATATAAAAGGCATAATAAAATACTCGGGCTGTGAATAGACAGCACCCAAAAAAGGAAGAGCAGATTAATCCCGTTTAGTTCAATCTTCCTGCAAAAATATTGATGAAAATTGAAATGGCAATGAAAAATATAAACCAAGAGTACCTTGCGATCATTGAAGCTCCCTAATCGAAAAGATAAATTATCCCTGCAAAATACTCTAAAAAACGGAATATTAGAACGATAGTAAATAACACAGTAAGAATACCCAATAATATGCCTGAAGGAAAGACAATTACTAAGAGGATCAAAAGATCCCAGCATACCCTGCAGGTCCAGATAACTATCTCTAATACTCCAAGCGTTCAGAAATAAAAATTGAATAGCATGCTCCCTCATATTCATGCTATTATAGAACAAGTTCCAGGCCCAGAAAAAAAAAAAAGAATGCTAATAATAGCAAACCATATAGTACCATTAAACCGAACCTGACCAGAAAAAACATCACAATTCTCACATAGATCTCCAACCCGCAAAGAACCAGCACCATGTGAATTAGCATTAGAACAGGGTTGCAGGCCACTCGCAAAAAACATATACCAGATAAGAGAATAACCCCGGGCCATACCAACCACCTGATTATCCATGTTCATAGAAAAATAACTCCATGTAATACCCAAAATAATAACCCTGATCTCCAGCAACCAGCACAGACAAGCCAGAAACAAATAGGTATTAGTGAAAACCAACCAACTAGGGGCATTAAACCAGGCCATAAGAAAGACATTCAAAATCAACCAGAGACA